GTGAAGAAGGTATTTGGCATGCTTGCCTTCGTTGGTCAGAACTTTTGAGTACAGGAGTTGGGATGCCATGTTGTGGCTATACAGGACATTGGTGAATAGAATTCAGTGTAGAATTTTGGTTGCCCTACTATAGGAAGGACGTTGTTAAACTTGAGAACGTGCAGAGAAGATTTACAAGGATGTTGCCAGAACTGGAAGGTTTGAGTTATAGGGAGAGGCTGAATAGGCTGGTGCTTTTTTTTCCTGGAGTATTGGAGGCTAAGGAGTGAACTTATAGAAGTTTATAAAAATAAGTTTATAAAAAGTCATGAGGGACATGGATAGGGTGAATAGCCAAGGTCTTTTTCCTAGGTTGGGTTCAAAACTAGAGGACTTGGATTTAAGGTGAGACGGGAAAGATTTAAAAAAGACTTGAGGGGTAACTTTCTCACGCCAAGAGTAGTGCATGTATGGAACGAGCTGCCAGAGGAATTGGTAGAGGCAGGTATAATTATAACATTTAAAAGCCATCAGGATGGGTACGTGAATAAGAAAGGTTTAGACGGATATGGGCCAAATACTGGCACTTGGGACAAGGTCAGATTGGGATGTCTGGTTGGCGCCAAAGATGTTCCAAAGGGTCTGTTGCCGTGCTGTATGAATCTGTGACTGAGTTGGTCAGTCAGCCAATCCAACTGCATAAAGCAGTCAGACATGTAATGGAGAGAAAAAGAAGTGTTATTGGCATACATGTGCAAAGTGACCTTATGCCTGTGAATCATATTCCCAAGACTAGTGAGCAGGAAGAGAGCCTAAAGACATCCTTAAGAGATTCTAAAAGCTGGTATTGTGGGAATGTAAAGGAAAGCATTTCTTGAGATACACTGACTACATTTAAGTTGGTTGGAATGACATTGTGGGTAATCAGTCCTGACAACTAGAGACATTGGAAGAAAATAGATGTAGGGCTAGATGAACACAGCATCAGAGGAGCAGGAAAGCTGACGTTTCGGGTCTGGATGCTGCTTCAGAAACGGGGGAGGGGAAGGGGACTCTGAAATAAATAGCGAGGGGGGAGGTGATGATGGAAGGTAGATAGAGGAGCAGATAGGTGGAGAGAAGACGGACAGGTCAAGGAGGCGGGGATGGAGCCGGTAAAGGTGAGTGTAGGTAGGGAGTTGGGATGGGGGTTGGTCAATTGGGAGGGAGGGCAGACAGGTCAAGGAGATGGGGATGAGTCTAGTAGGTAGGAAGTGGGGATGGGGGTGGAGGTTGGTCAGTGAGGTGGGAGGAGCGGATAGGTGGGAGAAAAGACAGGTCAAGGAGGTGGGAACGAGCTGGGCTGGTCTTGGGATGAGGTCGGGGGTGGGGAGATTTTGAAGCTTGTGAAGTCTACATTGAGACCATTGGGCTGCAGGGTTCCGCCTTCTCTCCACCTATCTGCTCCTCTATCCACCTTCCATCATCGCCGCCTCCTCTCTCTATTTCAGAACCCCCTTCCCCTCTCCCATTTCTGAAGAAGCGTCCAGACCCAAAATGTCAGCTTCCCTGCGCCTCTGATGCTGCCTGGCCTGCTGTGTTCATCCAGCTCCACACCTTGTTATCTCAGAATTCGACATCAGCAGTTCCTACTATCTTTCATTGGAGGAAAATAGCCAATTTTATCAGTACCTCAGAGTGGACAACGAGGAATAATGCCCTACTATCATTATCGCATCATTATGATTGTAGTAAAGTCATATTGTGCTGTGAGAAGGGTGAAAGCCAGTCTAGAAGGATTTAAAGGGAGTTACGGAGAGGAGTCAGTGCAGCTGAGCAGTGTTGATGCATTCAAAGATACTCTACTAGAGAGGAAGTGAGGCAGTGAATATTGAGGACAACAGAATGGAGTTGTTTTTTGAGAAAGCACTTTCAATGGAATCTGAATAGGTGAGGAAGTTGGATATTGAGGCGTTGATTGATAAAGGATCAAAAAGTCAGTGTTGGGTCTTACAGTAGAATGGTAATGAGGAGGAACAACAATTAGGTCACGGTATTTCTGGACCACCTGCATCTAAAATGTACAGCTGCTGTTAAGTCAAATACAAATGTGTTTCAGCTGAGTAGAACATAATGTATTGACTGAACAGTTAAGGGAAAGATATAAAAAAAATTCTTGCAAAATAAAGACCTCAATCTTTTCAATATATAAGGTAACTGCCAAACTAAAAATTACATGCAGACCTTTTTGGAATTATGCCTGGAAAATGTGTTGAGAAATATCTTCAAAAATTATAGTCTTTCGCATCATCTGAAAATGCTTATTAAAACGCTCCTTCCTGTTTGTGAGATTTTCATCCTCTCATTACCTTAAGCTAACTTCCTGTTTATAAAATTTTATTTCTTACCTGCATCACTGCTATTGCGAGTTTGGATGAAATGCCTCAATAATAAACAAGTTCAAACTTGATTTTCTTATGACTGTAAATACAATCGAGAAATGCCATATTGGCGAGGAAGGCTTGAAATATCATTGGAAGAATAATTATGCCCAACTTCTCCCTATTTGGAAATGCTACTGCTAGAACTACAACTGTGCTGACAAGTTATTTTGGCAGAATATGATGTTGTCTTAATCTGGAATTTGAGATCACATCTGGCTGGCTGTGTGTTCTGGATTGGAGTCAAGTTTGTTGTTAACGGGTTAAAACAAAACAGTGTAAATTCTGCTGCAAAAGCTTAACATCTATCTACAAAGAATGCTGGAAATACCCAGGAGGTCAGGCAGCATCTATAGAAAGAAAAAAGTAGTATTTATGGTCAGTGACAGGAGAAGAATTGTAGCATCAGAATTGGATACAAGTAGTGATGTAATAGCGAGTACAGGGACAGTGAAAAGGCAGGAGGTGGGAAGAAAAAGAAGGGTGTATGGTGGCGTGGAAGTAAGCAATTAAATGACAGTTCTCCAGTATAGAGACCAATGAAACAGTTAAGTAGCCAATTAAGAGCCTCTTCCAACCTCCACTAGTATTTAGCCAGAGGATAGAGGAGGGATTGGGCTGGCTTTGCCACGTGGGTTAGCTGCAAATGCTGGTCAACTGCAGGTGGTACACTCATTTGTGGACACTCTTTAGCCCACAGAGTGACCCTGGCACCAATGACTGTCTACACAGCGACACACCACCTGCCCTCCCTGACTCCCACGTCACCAGGATCTGTCTGAGTTGCCCTGGGACCTCAGACCTTACTGAGCTGGTTGTGTCGCACATGTCCATCACGGTTTCCCCTTCCTCCTCCAAGTAAGGCCTTTGTTCCAACCCAGCTGGGTGGGCAGCCATCCTTAGTAGGGAATAGCCAGTGTGTTTCCACTGATCAACTGACTGTCAAAGTTGAGCCATCTACACACCCAAATGCCCCTTTCAGGTAGGTCTGCAAGTCTCCCACTGATAAAACTGCATTATGATCACTGATTCACCTGGAAGGAATACTAAGGGTACAGACAGTGGTAAGGGAGGAGACAGAACGGCAGTGTTCAAGCCCTGCTTTAAAAGACAAGTGCTGTAGGTAGAGGTGTAAAGTAACTTAACACTTTCTCCCCAGTAAAATATTTTCATTAAGTTTCTATAAGACTGGTGACATAGGATGCAAGAATTTAATATCATTATGCCTATTTTGTGTGCGTAAAAACAACGGCGATCTCCTGGAAGTGTGCAACAGCTCACTTGAAATCCAGTGATTTGTGGCTGTACAAGTCACTCACCTGTAATTGAGCATTAGGTAAGTTGCAAATGCAAATCAGGATAATGACATCAGTTCTTGGACCTCAATTAAAATTAGTCCGCCACACACGCACCAGGTTGTTCCACACATTCAGTCTATCCAGTGCTAGGTAAAGGCACTGTAGGAGCTGCTGATAACATCCAGAAAATATCATAATTTGTGGAGCCTTGAAGTAGAGGAGTGCGTCTCCTATCTCTGTAAAGGTATTGAAATGCTATTTCACTTGGCAGCATCAACCTCAACCCTGGGATTCACCGATCAATATCGGCACTGGTCAGGATAGCATGGCTCACCAGTTAAATTCAAATGAGACCCAATTCCCATTTTAAATTGGGCAGAGTTCTTTGAATGAACTTTCCACTAATGGCTTTCTTCACAGGTTGAATTTCTTCCCTGATTTTTCTGCAGAGAAATCCCTCATGCTGTTATAAAGTTACGAGTGTGTCAACCAAGATACGTTGACTTAAAAATTATGACAATCTGCAGCAAATCTCAATGTTGCAAGCTGCTCCAGGAATGGAGACTTCTTATTCTGTTTAAAATCAATTTCAAGTACTAGTTTATGTTCCTCTTAAAACTGTATTCATGACAGCATAGTTGGGTTAGAGAGGAAAAATAGTTGATCCAAATAAAGACATTGGTCACAAACCAAATATTTAAAGTATTTGTTTAAAGAAGAAGCAAATAATTGATAGATCACAAACAAAAATTCTCATGGGGATGAAGCTTGGGACAAATTGATTACAGACCATGTCAAAAATAAAAAAAAATTCACAAGCTAGGATTTAGAAACATCCCCATTTCCTTCACTGGGTTTTAATCTTTATCATTCCCACACTGACGAAGTGAAGAGCTGTCATCATGTCTTAAGTAAACAAGAATTTAACAAGTTATCGGTTTAATTTGAAATGGTCTTAGTACTGTGTCTGTAAGTTGTAATTGAACACTCTTTTTCTGTATTTCTGCAGCCAAGTACATATAAGCCTTCCTCTGACAGGAAACAGGAATTATTGCATGTTATTCCCGTCCTCTGTATGTAATTACTGCTGCGAGGGGAGAATAGGCTGTTGTTTCGCTCCCAGACAAAAATTGTATTATGGAAGTTTTCAGGTCATGTGTTGGAAAATTGGTAAAGTAACCATTTTGAGTTTGAATTGTTTACACTTAGATCTTGCTGAATTGAATCCACTGCAATCTGTGCAGCAGAGAAAGAACAATATTGTCTGAATGTTTTAATTTCTGCCTTTTAATTTCCTTTTCAGAAACCTGATCCAAGGTCAATGAGAAACAATGTTGATCGAGATGATGGTGGTCTCCTGGACCCAGTAAGTTTTTGCAGTACACTGTTTCTGGTACAAGTAGACTTTCTTACTCCAATGAAGAGAACAAAAGATGTGTGATCTCCTTATAATTTTGATGATAGATGATTTTGAATGATAGATTATTCCAATCCAGTCCATTTCTGCTAGTATAATTTAAGAGCTATGCTTGACGTTGGTATATGCACAGTGTGATTTAAACTGAGGATTTGGCCAAATAAACTGAATCAGTTTTGTGAAGAAACCAATTTCCTCCATAAAATTACTTTTAACAGAGATCATGCATTGTTGTGCACTAGCATTTTATGCACGAGTTCCAAATTTGTGACTCTCTTCCTGACAAATCTTGCGCCCATCAGGATAATTCACAAGAGTGCCAATAAAGGGGGAGAAAAATAGCATTTATATTGTATGAGGGGTGAATGTTAATTAGTTAACAAGTGGATTCTGATTGCCTTTGCATTACCATGGAGAATGCAGTTGTTAATGATGATTGACTGATAACTTTGCGGCTTTATTTAGATTTGAAACCAGGCACATTGACTTTGATTGGTCAGGGTATTTCCTTCACAAATGTATCAGCAAATGGCTGTCATGTATTTTGTTGCGTTGAAACAGGTGCAGTGCTTGCACATGTTTTTTTCTGTCAAAAAAAACCAGCTCCCTGTGAATTAATATGCGGGGCTTTCAGCACATGAGTGCCACAGTAGGAGCCCAACTGTCCATTATGAATTGGTTGTCAGTGTAATTCTTCACAAACTTGCGATTATCCAGCAAATGTTGTTCAAATGCAGAATCACATCTAAAGTTGAACACTGTTGCAAGTTTTGCAAGCATGAGCTGGTTGGGTACTGCCATTATCTTGCTTATTGTGAATAGCTGAAGGGTCAAGCTGTTTAATACAATTCGCTAATCTTTAGGACTTATGGCCTACATACCTGGCATAATACCAGCACTGAAATTCCGTATGCCATATTACTAATTTGTGTGACAAACACAATGTATTTTTGGCTTGACAGCACCATCTTGTTCATGGTGAACTTATATTGCTACTGCGTAGTAGCAGTGTGAAATTGCTAACTTCACCTGTTGTTCAAACCTTTGCAATACCTTATCCTTCCAATTGCAACTTTCTCTGTCATCCACTACTTGTATCGTCAAAGTGACCAAGGTGAAAAACTGTTTTCCACCTTTAGCATAGTACTACGCACTGTGGGTAACCCAAATAGAGAGACAAATAAGAAAATCAAAAAAGTTTAAGTTCTGGGCTGTCTAGTGAACTGCAAGAATAACTTTTAATTTTGTTTTTCTTTCCAAGAGCTTCTATTAAAAACTGGCATTAAAAAATTAATTCCATTAAGTAATGCAATTAGAAGTCATTATGCTGCTGCCAATCAAATATGTAAGCTGTATTATGATAGTCTTTTATTTTCATACCTTCTCTTTTTTTATTTAGACTGGCAATCATCACATCTACCAGCCTGTAGGGAAACAAGGTAAGAATTGAAATACCTTAAAGGTTTCTTTTGTGTTCAATAAATGAGGATAAATTTTAGAACAAAATTTTAATGACCCATTTTCAGATCCAACATTTGTAATTCTGCCAGAAAACTCATGGCAACTTGGCTATGGCATGCATGGCACTTCATAAATGTGGTTTTCCCTTTCACTTTTCTGATGCAACACCAACAGTGCAGATGCATTGATAAGCTTGAATAGCAACTTGAAATGTAAATACGATATAAGCAGCCTGATTTTTCGGTCACAAAAAGACATTCTAAATGGTGTATCAGAGGGAAAGACTTAACTTGATGGAAAAAATGTGAGGACGCAGTCTGGCATTGTAATTAACAAATAAACTGTAAGTAGCGAAATAACTTCTAGTGTCATGGTCAAGAGCAATAGGAAAACAATTCACTGTCAACATATGGAATGAGTAACAATATCCAGAGGAAATTTGAAAGTGTGGTAAAAGAGAGGAAGACTTCAGGAGGACTTGGGCTGGTGGTATAGTGGACAGACAAAATTCACTGCAGGGAGGTGTAAGGTGATGCTTTCTGATCAGTGTAAGGAGAGACAATAAAATTTCAATGGTATAATTTTTAAAAAGATTGCAGTAAAGAGATTGAAGATGGTTGGGCCCAAACCTTAGTTGGTGGGATTAGTTAGCAAAGTAGTTAATAAAGCATCTGGAATCCTCAGATTTGTCAATAGAATTATGGAGTAGAAAAGCTTGGAAGATTTTTTTATTAATTCCTATGATGTGGGCACTGTTGGAAAGGCTGGCATTTTTTTGCCTGTTCCCAACTGCCTTTGAGGAAATGTTTGTGGGGTGTTTCTTGAACTGCAGTCTCTATGATGAAGGTATGACCACAGTACTACCGAACAGTGAGTTGCAAGGTCTTGGACCAACTGAAATAAAGGAGAGAAAAATTGTCCCAAGTCAAGATAGGATGTGGCTTGCAGCGGAACCTGCAGATGTTGGTGTTCCCATACACCTGCCCTTGTGTTTCTAGGCAATTGAACCTGTTGGTTTGGGAAATATGTTACTACAGATCATTTTGTAGATGGTAAATACAGCTGCTCCAACATGCTGGTGGAAGAGACAGTGAATGTTTAAGGTGAAGTTGGGTACTAATCAAGCAAACTGTTTTCTTTTGAATGGTGTTAATGCTAATGAGACCTAGTTCCCAAAATTGACCAGGTCTCCCACATGGCTCTTGAGCAACCAAGTGTTTCATTCTGCAGGTCAGACTCACAAAATGCACACTGTGAAGAAGTCTATTCTATATTCTTTAGAAGTATTTCTGATTATCGATTATTATATATTTTGACAGAGATGTACTATTTCTAGATTTCCAGCATTATAACAACCAATAAAGTAACGGTTTTGATTTTTTTTTCTTCTTTTTGACAAGCAGAGCATGCAGCGCCACCAAAGAAGCCTCCTCGACCTGGTGCCCCTAGCCATGGAGGAAGCATTGCCAGCCTAAACAGTCCAATTGACAATTACAATGAAGGAGTGAAGGTTAGCATTTAGATACAAGCTTAATATTAATTAATGAGGCATCCTATCGAAAATAATTATTATATGCAGCTTTCAATTGAGACTTTAGTTTGAGTCAGAGCTGATACTTTTATAAGATTTCAGCTGAATCCTTATAAACATTTTGATAGTTGGAGATCAAAATGTCTAACATGGCTGTTCTAAGTTTTATTTTAGTAAAAGCAGAATGTGTTCAAATATTAAATAGGTTAATGAAAGTCAGGAACAAGACAATTGATTGAGATAGCTACTTCTCAAGTCTATCTCATAATTTATTAAAGCAGCCCTTTACTTGTTTTAAATTATACATAGGGGTCCCCAATTTTACAAACGTCTGACTTAGGAATGCTCGTATTTCTGAACACAATCCCATACTGGGGTACAATTTTAAAGATCCAACATATGAATATTTCCTGTACTTACGAATGGCTGTTTTATATTGCCCTGCATTGTGTTCTAACTTGTAGACAAGTCAACTTGCAAACAGATTCCAGAACAGAGCCCATTTGTAACCAGAGGACTGCCTGTACATATTTAGTTTCTGAGCCCTTATATGTCAATTGGTTTCTACAGAAATAACTAGAATAGAATGAATGAAAGGCTTGATTTATCTAGAACCTGTTCTAACCACCAGGGCTCTCCAAAGTGCTTTATCGCCAATTAAATATTTTTGAATATATTTGTCATTGTAAAGGAAATGCAGGAGCAAATTTTCTTACAACAAGCTCCCACAAACTGCAGTGTAATCAGCTAACCAGTTTTCATGATGTTGATTTTGAGGTTAGTATTGGGAAGGGCACCAGCTTGTTTACAAAATAGGTCCATAGTATCTTTTACATTCATCTGAGAGGGCAGATGGGCCTTTGGTTTAGCATCTCAATCCAAAATTCAGCACTTCCAATAGTACTGCACTCCCTCAGTACTACATGAGAATGTCAACCTGGATTTCAGTGCCAAGTCCCAGTGTGGTATTGGCCTGCAAAAATCTAGTAAGCAATGTATAGATTGATTTCAATGCTCAATTCAACAGAATGCTCATTTAAGCTGTGGGAAGTTGCAAAATAAAGTAGTGCAAAGCAAGCCTCAGTAATGTGAAAATAAAGAGAGATTGTACCCAGACGGGATTGAGGTTCATAAGGAGGAGGTGTTAGCAATTCTGGAAGGTGTGAAAATAGATAAGTCCCCTGGGCCGGATGGGATTTGTCCTAGAATTCTCTGGGAAGCTAGAGAGGAGATTGCAGAGCCTTTGGCTTTGATCTTTATGTCGTCATTGTCTTCAGGAATAGTGCCAGAAGACTGGAGACTAGCAAATGTTGTCCCCTTGTTCAAGAAGGGGAGTAGAGACAACCCTGGTAATTATAGACCAGTGAGCCTTACTTCGGTTGTGGGTAAAGTGTTGGAAAGGATTATAAGAGATAGGATTTATAATCATCTAGAAAGGAATAATTTGATTAGGGATAGTCAACACGGTTTTGTGAAGGGTAGGTCGTGCCTCACAAACCTTATTGAGTTCTTCGAGAAGGTGACCAAACAGGTGGATGAGGGTAAAGCGGTTGATGTGGTGTATATGGATTTCAGTAAAGCGTTTGATAAGGTTCCCCATGATAGGCTATTGCAGAAAATACGGAGGCATGGGATTGAGGGTGATTTAGCGGTTTGGATGAGAAATTGGCTAGTTGTAAGAAGACAGAGGGTGGTGGTTGATGGGAAATGTTCATCCTGGAGTTCAGTTACTAGTGGTGTACCTCAAGGATCTGTTTTGGGGCCACTGCTGTTTGTCATTTTTATAAATGACCTGGATGAGGGCATAGAAGGATGGGTTAGTAAATTTGCAGATGACACCAAAGTTGGTGGAGTTATGGATAGTGCGGAAGGATGTTGCAGGTTACAGAGGGACATAGATAAGCTGCAGAGCTGGGCTGAGAGGTGGCAAATGGAGTTTAATACGGAAAAGTGTGAGGTGATTCACTTTGGAAGGAGTAACAGGAATACAGAGTACTGGGCTAATGGTAAGATTCTTGGTAGTGTGGATGAGCAGAGAGATCTCGGTGTCCATGTGCATAGATCACTGAAAGTTGCCACCCAGGTTGATAGCGTTGTTAAGAAGGTGTACGGTATGTTAGGTTTTATTGGTAGAGGGATTGAGTTTCGGAGCCATGAGGTCATGTTGCAGCTGTACAAAACTCTGGTGCGGCCGCACTTGGAGTATTGTGTACAGTTGTGGTCACCGCATTATAGGAAGGATATGGAAGCATTGGAAAGGGTGCAGAGGAGATTTACCAGGATGTTGCCTGGTATGGAGGGAAGGTCTTATGAGGAAAGGCTGAGGGACTTGAGGCTGTTTTCGTTAGAGAGAAGAAGGTTAAGAGGTGACTTAATAGAGACATACAAGATGATCAGAGGATTAGATAGGTTGGACAGTGGGAGCCTTTTTCCTCAGATGTTGATGGCTAGCACGAGGGGACATAGCTTTAAATTGAGGGGTGATAGATCTAGGACAGATGTCAGAGGTAGGTTCTTTACTCAGAGTAGTAAGGGCGTGGAATGCCCTGCCTGCAAAAGTAGTAGACTCGCCAACTTTAAGGGCATTTAAATGGTCATTGGATAAACATATGGATGATAATGGAATAGTTTAGGTTAGATGGGCTTCAGATTAGTTTCACAGGTCAGCGCAACATCGAGGGCCGAAGGGCCTGTACTGCGCTGTAATGTTCTATGTCCTATGTTCAATGTTCATATGAAATCTGAATTTAGTGGTGAAACAGCTGAAGCTCTTTTTCTGTCCAGTATTATCTGACCAAATATAGTGGCATAAACTACAAACAAATCTCTTCTGAAGATACTGATTGCTTGCTGGTATATAGTTCATGGGTACTAATTGACCTCTGATATTTTGCTGTTACTCACTTATGAGCCTTGACATTTGTTAAGCTATTTTTACATCAGGGTACTTCAAAGCTGAGCCTCCTTCTAGATGAACTATTCACTGAATCATCAGGGAGATTTTCATTCTGTTTTTAAATCATGTAGTTGATTTTATAGGAGCTTAATTGTTTGGTGATGCATCTGCAGGGTTGTGTTGTCTTGGTCTTCTGCATGAGCTGCAATTTTAATGATTTATTTAAATAAAGTTCTATGGTACTGTATTGTTGTCCTTCATAATGTTGAGAAATAAGGAGGTTTTTAAACGTATGGGTGTCTTTCAACTCTTTAACGTGTTGTACTGCTGACTAAAGGCAGTCAGGGAGTAAACTCAGTAGGCTAGATATTTTCTGAAGAAGGGTCTAGGCCCGAAACGTCAGCCTTCCTGCTCCTCTGATGCTGCTTGGCCTGCTGTGTTCATCCAGCTCTACACCTTGTTATCTAGGCTTTCCTGCCTGCCACCTACCTTCCCCTTCACCTCTGCTCTGTAAGCATTCTACTTGTGGCTGGTCATTGTGTGGCCTACCTATTTTTGAACCAGTTGAGACCCCTTAAATGGGTAGTTCTAGCCAACTTAAGAGCCTCATCCCACTAATTAACTGGTGGCAGGAGATACCCACAACAAGAACACAGCCCTAGATGAAAGGGGGAAGAGTACATCTTTAACAGCACCTCTGGGGCACATTGGAGACACACAGGCACAGTGTAACCCTCTTCCTAACCCAGCCACACACTCCACTTTGCCTTCCCTAACCAGACTTACCCCTATTGAGACCCTTATTTGAAGCTCAAATCTTTTCATGGGCCTTGCTGAACTGATAGTATTCACTACTCCCACTGGTGCTGTGAGCCTCTAACTTACTGCTCCTAAGGGGTGGAAGTTTTCCCTCAATCTGTGTGGGGCAGTGATGGGAATCATAGGCAGGCTTGGTTGAAGAATAAAGTTAGCCCATTAAATCCAGCTGAGTGTAACAGTCCTCCTTGTTTGAACCCATGAAGTTGTGCCCAGCAATCTAAATTGTTTTAAAAATCACAAGTTCTAGAAAGGTGCATATCACAGAAATGTTGATGAATAAGTTAAGGTTTTTGAGTGCAGGACCTTCTTCTGACAAGGGATCTACATCCTTAAAGATTAACCAGTTGTCCTTTTCACATGCCAGTGGATGCCAGCTATATTGTAGCACTTTTGAGGTCCCGATCCGAAATGTCAACTTTCCTGCTCCTCTGCTGCCTGGCCTGCTGTGCTCCTCCAGCTCCACACTGTGTTAACTGACTCCAGCATCAACTGTTCTTACTATCTCATATTGTAGCACTTGTTGCTTTTCTAAAAGCCTGTAATCTATATTGACTTCTGGTGTAATACAGTGTTGAACTGTTCAAGGTTGTATCCTTTGGATAGATATCTGATAGCCCTTCACAGTTTAGATGGAATTAAAGATGCATGATATATGAAGATAAAGCAGAACGTCTCCCTGACTCCCAGCTAATATTGCTTCTACAAAAATCTCTTCAATATGAGATTTGTTCATCTGCCATTTCTGCATTATTTATTAATTCATCATAAAGATCTGGAAGATGGGAGTGGAGGTAGAAAAGATCTAGACCGTAGTCTCAAGAGAAATAGTTAAATCTTGAAATTCGGTGTCAGTAAGAATAGGGTGATGATTTTGATTGTTGAAAAGAGCAGTAATAGTTTCCCAATGGAAGCAGGCTGGTGTTTTTCAAGAACAAATAGATTTAAGATGACTTGTCACCTCAAGATATTAAAGAATGCACCTCAAGTTGATAACGCCTTTTAGAAACTAGAATTTGGTAAGTTGCATCTTGAGATAAGGAAATTAATAGCTAGAGGTAATGATGAACCTATTTATTAAAATAATAAAACTTTAGTTATGGTGCTGAGCACCATGAGGGGAACCATGCTATGGAAAGAAGTTAAACCTTTAGAGGGCATAAAGACTAGGATGCTGGTCTGAATAAGGAAATATGAGTATGAAGAAAGTCTTGAAAATATGGAGCTTTTGTTTTAGTTAGAACAACATAGATTACAGGACAGTATTGTAGATTTAATTAAAACTATGAAAGGATGAGACAAGATAGATAAAAACAATTTGTTTTCAGTTGTTGAGAGATCTTTACTGAAGGACACAGTTGAATGATTTTAAACAGAGGGCAGGATGTAGAGAGTCATGAGGCTATGAATTCACTTCCAGGATTCGTGGTTGAGACAGAAACAATATCAGCGTTCACAGCTAGATTGGGAAGGTGGAAGAAGGAAAAAGGGTCAGGATGACATCAGAATGCGGGGTAAATATAATTAAGACTTTTTGCTTGAAGCCAAATCAGATTGATTGAGCCAATGCACTGAGTTCTCTGTTGCAATTTTTTTTTATTTATTATAGATGTTTCGACGTGGCAAGCTATGAAAATTGAAATTTTGCTTTCTGACCATTTCAAAACCAAAGTTATATGCAAAATCACAACCCCTTTTCACAAAATCCAAACCATATAAACCTAAATCATCATGGCCAAGTACTCATTACACAACTATGCTGATCATTAAGAGCGATGACCAGCAGTTAGGTTTGTGAAAAGTAGAATTAAAAATATGCATTTTTAAATCATGCTGTCTTATTCCACAAACATCAAGAAACTGAATCGGTTTAAAAGCAGTCGGTGATGACTGAACCAAAGCTTTGAATGCTGAAGTTTTTGTGCTAAATTTTGTGCAACTGAATGGGAAATGGGCTGCGGTTTTTTTCCATCCAAATAAATAAAATTGCCTGGTTCCCATGAGGTGTGTACTGAGTAGAGTACACTTAAAGGCACCACAAGGGAGCAAAATAATAAATGCTTCTTGTTATGAAAGTGTTGTCCTAAAGAGACACTTGGTTGAAATAACAAGTAACAAATTTTAATTACAGGCTCTTGTTGTCTGTGGAATGTCCATTTCACCACACTAACTATTCAATTTATCCATATTTGTTCCTCAAATGTTTCTAGTGGACAAAAGCAATTCCCAGTCTAGTACGAAGTCTTAAAGGTCTTATGCTCCCAGACTCTTTTGCAGGTCAGTGCTAAGTCAACTTATCCCAGCTGGGCCAGCAGTTGGGACTTTATAATTGGCTTTGATCCCAGTTGGCCTCATTGGGTCGGGAAGCAAAAAAATCAGCAGCGTTCAGATTCTTGGTGAGCAGTTTTCAGCTGAATTCTGGAATACATTCAGCAGTGATACCCTCCACGAATGAATATCCTGCCAATACTCACTGATCACTATTTTTATCTGCCTACTGCCTTGTTCATTCTGAAACCGATGACCAAGAATTATCTGTCTTGATTTCAAAGTCAAAATGTTCCTGCCCAAAGCCAGCAACAGATTTACCTCAATGTTTAAAAGGTAGTAGCCTGACAAATTTTGTGTACAGGTGATTAGACCATGTGTTATACTCGACTTTCTGCTATGGCATTGGCTCATAAAGCTTGGCATGGGCATAGTCGATTTTCCCACATTCTGTTTTATTGGAAGTAACAGACTTCTAGTCATGTTCCAGTTCTGACATGCCTGAAATTGGAAATAATAAGATCACGGACTCAAACTGCCCTGTAATCAATTCTTGGCTCCATCTATTGTTTAATACTTTCTGTTTTAAATTCCGACGTTGCTTTGTGATTCATTATTATTTTACAAATGCTTGCCCATGTCAGACTCCTTGCCAACATCAACATGGTTGCCCTCTGAAGTGGTAGTAAGCCACTAGGTTGCATCAATCACTTCATGATCCAGATTTTGTGGTCACCACTGACCTTGATAAAAGTAATCCACAGAGATCTAACGCTCGTTTCCTAACACTAATTTGGATCTGCTACCAAATAAAGAGGATCTTTGGTCATCCAGAACAGTGATGTCATCAGCCAAGTGTATGAAGTAATTTTCAAAGACAGCACACCAAGAAATAAAGTTTATTTTTATTAATTTTATAAGGGTGTAATAATGTTGGATAAGCAAATGAGCTGTTGAATGAATGAATGAATATTTTGAAAGAAATGCTATATTAAAATTGATGAGAATTTTATTTGAATGGCATTACAAAAATATAAAATTAATTTTCATGGACCAAGAAGTTGTTCAGCAGTGTTTATGACTTAAGTAGACTATTATAAACCCAGTTATACCTCATTAACAAAGGGTAACTATTTGTGATATTACAGTGATATTACAGCATAAAAGAGCAACTTTCATCAATAAAGTAATTTCTAAAGATTTGCAAGGACTTCAGAGTCATACCCTGTACAGGAGCAGGAGATCACAGCCAACAACCTTTGGATTCATGTTTAACTACATATATGTGGATGCCAGGTGTTATGGTCAGATTCATGAGGTAATCGTGGTGAAGGTTAATAGCTTCACTATCGTTACAACTGCTAACTCCAGTCATAGAATACAGATCACAGCACTTGAAGGAAAAAGGCCTGCCCTGACCTATAGGCAACTAGAATGTAATACATTCTGGCCTTGCTTGTGACCCCTGAGAATAAACTACAAAGGAGAAAAGCATTCTGAGAATCCCTCACGAACTGGTTATGTGCTCGATCACATCACCTTGCACAAATTTTGTAATTCGGTCCAAAGAATCAGTAACTGACATTACACAGATTTGTTTCCCTTTTGCTTCTGTCTTTCCATGCTGAACTCCGTTTCAGTTTTGTTTTTTTAAATTAGTGATAGGTTCATGAGTTGATGCCAGGCATTTTTTTTTTGTTAAATCTGATCTGCATCCAGTGTGCTTGAGTCCTATGATAATGTAAAATATTCAAGACTATTTTCTATTTGAACCTTACAGTTCCCAAACTCCAGGCTTTCTTTAAACAAAAAAAAACTGCAGATGCAGGAAATCTGAAACAAAATTAGAACTTGCTGGAGAAACTTGGCAGGAGAAATGGCTTGGTTCTGAAGAAGGGTCGCTGGACCCAAAATGTTAACTCTGCTTTCTCTCCACAGATGCTGCCAGACCTGCAGAGATTTTCCAGAATTTTCTGTCTTGTTTAAGGTTTTCGTTCTTTGTAACATACAATAAAACCCCTTGCCCCTGTTGGTCAGTGCATTGAGTATAGGAGTTGGGATGTCATGTTGCAGCTGTACAGGATATTGTTGAGGCCATCTTTAGAATACTGCATTCAGTTCTGGCCTCCCTGCTATGGGAAGGATGTTATTAAACTTGAAAAGGTTCATAAAAGATTTACAAGGATGTTGCTGGGATTGGAGGATTTGAGCTATATGGAGAGGCTGAATGGGCCGGGGCTTTTCTCGCTGGTGCGTCAGAGGGGTGAGGGGTGACTTTATCAAGGTTTGTAAGATTATGAGGGGCATGGATAGGTTGAATAGTCAGGTCTTTTTCCTAGGGTAGGGAAGGCCAAAACTAGATGTTATAGGTTTAAGGTAAGAGGTGAAAGGAGTAAAAGGTACCTGAGGGACGGCATCGATACGCAGAGGGTGGTGCGTGTATGTTACGAGCTGTCAGACGAAGTGGTGGAGTCTGGTACAATTATAACATTTGAAAGGCATCTGGACAGGTACATGAATAGGAAGAGTTTAGAGGGATACCAAAGGGTCTGTTTCTGTACTGTATAACTCTTTGACTCTATCCCAACAACTTTATTAGGCTAACAATCCTATGTTGCAGTGTTGATTTTTTTAATTGATTAAAACTTAAAATAGATAATTGCTGTAAGTAATTCACAGCCAATCTATTAACAATTAAACAGTCATTAAGTTATGACAAGTATTTCATACAAAAAATGGTGACAGGCAGCATTAGTTTAATAAGAACAAGGATTGGGAACAGGCCATTCAGCCCTTCAAGCCTACTCCACAATTCAGTAAGAAACAGCCAATCTGATTGTAACCTCAACTCTACATTCCTTCATATCCACGATGATCTTTCAACCCGTCACAATAAAGAATCCTGTCTACTTCTGCCTTAAAAATATGTAAAGATTCTGCATCCATTGCATTTTGAGGAATTTCAAAGACACTCAAGCCTCTGAAAGAAAAAACGTTTCTTCATCCTGGTTTTAAATGTGCAACCCCTTATTTCTAAACAATGATCCCTAGTTCTAGATTCTCCTACAAGAAGAAAGGGCAGTCTAATGCTCCTTTATTTTGATTTTCTCTTTATCAGTGAAGCAAACATACATCATTGAAATTATTCACCTAATTAATAAATACTCTGTATCTATGAAATCACAAATTGTGTATCCACAATTTTTAACCTTTTGTAAAGAGTTCAACACTCGTGTGTTTCATCATTCACGGAGGTTCTCAGGAACTGAACCCTCGCGTATACGGCAGAATGACTAATGTGCCTAAATGTAAGATTCTCAAAGCAATCACTTCATAAACCCAACTGGCCTTCAGTTCTGCACCATACTGGTAGGAAGGCTAACTGAGTAGAGAAATGCTATGGCATTGTTTTTACCCACTCAACCCCTTAAAACTTACTTTTTATGATTTCTGTTTTGATTGAACTTATTTGATGGTGATGCTACATGATTATCTGCAACCTACAAATGAATAAGGAAAACAGGCAGCTTAGAATTGTGTAGCAATCACTCAGTTCTGAAATTATTACACTAATTAAATGACCCATGTCTTCCAGCACTATGCTCCTTGGAATAGTATACTATATCCCATTTATATTTTTATATTATTATGTCCCAATCAATTTGTTATAATTTGACCATGTACTGTCAGCTTTTTTCCAAAACTTTGAAATTTTTGACTTGAAGGATAGATTTATTGCTTTTACTGTAGGTATGAGTCAACCTTGAAAGTTTTAAAAAATGTTTCCAAAAATAAAGTTGACTAATACATCAAATATAATGTGAGCCAGTGGTATAGAGGTGGTCACTTTGAAATGTAACGGAAAATGTCTGTTTTGGTCACCGTACAATCTGCTCTATATCGGCATGTCTTAAACTTCATAGCATTATGTTGGCAGCATAACTCAGATCACCTGCTTGATCCAAAACACCAACATATAGGATGACACTAACCTTAAAGATGTTTTCTCAGTTGAAAACCTGAGGCCAACTCCTAATGTGAGCATAACCCTCAACATACTTGTACGAGCTGAAAAAGAGGGGTGGTGAGAGGGAGTGTCAACTGATACGCTGCATATAGACCTAAATATGCATTTTGGCATCCAAAAACAGGAGGTGCCCTATATGCTAGGGCAATATATACACTGTTATCTGTAGTGGCAAAGCAAACACAATACTATTATTGAATTAAAATTGTAAGAAATATAATAACTTGCAATATAATGCATTTCCACAAAAGTAACAGCTCTAACCTAGATTTTGAGGTTGACACATTTTATACTGTGTATGCTTACCTATCAAGTTAAGTTGGCACCTAGTTTAGGTTGCATAATTAAATATGAGTAGTTTAAGCCATGTACCGTGAACCACGATATAATTTACTTATCAATGCCATTCAGAAGTTTCATTTGTCCCTGCTTGAGTGTAAACCTTTGAGTTATTTCCTGTTTTACCAAAATATTGTTTGCATTATTATCTAATACGAAGTGACTGGTAAAAGTGTTCATGCATGGTACAGTTCATAGTTAGGTAAGTAAATCATTTTAATGTGGTATGTCGCAATATAGTCTAATATAATAGTCTCCAAGCATTGGATAAGCATGAGGCTGTTTTGATAACATTTTAATTTTAAGTTCTAAACTACATGCATGCCAGAGAGTGAGTTTCCATTTCCTTGTTAATTTTTCTTTAAATCACGACTGTCTGCAAAGCAATGCTTATATTGTTTCAGTGAGAAAGTTCAAAACTCGAAACTCTGTATTGATATCCTACAGTAAGTAATCTTACCTGTGCAAGTAAAGCAGGAGAGTTGGAAGAACTTCTTTTACAAATTCCTGTGAAACAAGTGTGCAAAGATCATAGAAATATTATTAATTGAATGGAAAAAATGGCATTAGCCAAATTTGTTTATTTTTTAAACTGTAAATTATGGAAGAGTGTGACTGTATTTTTATTAAATTATTTTCAGAAGCCTTCAGAGGCATAGCGCCTTAAAGGGCATAATATTCTATTTTGAAATCATTGGGAGGAATATCTGGTGAGCTTGACAGCAAGTGGATGATCCACTCTTCCACATTATTGCACAGGTTTGCCTTGGTTTAAAGGCCAAATTGAGGAAAAAAAACAAATTCTTGCCGGTATTGAAACATTTTGATTCTGAATCACCAAGAGTTATCACGCTTTCACCTTTTAAACAATTTATAAATATGTACATAATTGCAATAACATAATCACGTGCAAGCAGCTTGTAGAAAACTGTTTGCAACCCCATGTTGAGGAGCATATGATCGCATCTGTCTTTCCTATGGTATTTCAAGCAAAATTTCTCAATTACATATCTCCGTTGGCAGATAAGAAAAGGAAAACAGGAAATAACTTCTTGGTGTGAATTTAGACATGCTGTTGTATAACAATAAACATGTTTGATGGTACAATTGCAAATCTATGTCCAAAATTTCTCATTCTATTCTATGAGTTTTTTTATCACTTGGATTGCATTGCTAACTGCTGCAATATTTTATTGCCTCTATTGGGAAGTTAAACATTTCTCCAGTTTCCTGCTCTCATGGTTCTTCTCTATGCAGTAAAGCTATTTAATTTTAACCAAGTACCAGACTTTATTACTTGTTTGATATATTCCAGTGATTTGATTTGCATGTTTTTTAGAAAATGCTTTTACTTTAGCGGAATTTCTTTTTAAGATGAAATATGTACACAGCTTTTAAATTGCACTCTAACAAATTTGATGATGCATGATATTCTTAGACTGCCATTGTTTTCACAGCTTTTAACTGCACATTGCATTATTGGTTTGCTTGCTGCATTTTTAATAATTGTTTTCCTTTTTTTCTCCTTTTGGTAAATTTCTTTAACCTTCCTTCACATTGTGTTCACCACTAGCCATGGAGGGTAAGCAAAATAATATGTGTATTTCTTTTTAAATTTTATCTTGTGTTTACTATACAGTATTTGTTCCTTCAAGGTGACATGAAAAGGGCTGTATAATTGCAACATGTTTCTTTGAAAACAGTTAATTATTTAAATTGATTATTATAGCAGTAGTCCCCTATCTCTCTGATTCTGTACTTGACTAAGTAATTTTTTTTTAAAAATAGCAGTGATTCAGAGATGGAGAAGAACATTGAGGCTATCATGCCAGCATGGCCCTTTGAGAGGACCCTCTGCTCAATCCCCAGAGCCCTGTGACTTGTCTTATTTCTAGCATATATCCAATTCCATTCTGAAATCTACTGTCAAATCTGCTATAGCCATAATTTCCAGTAGTGCATTCCGGATAATTGAAATGCAATATGAGAAATATCCACTTAGTTCAGTTTATAGTGCACTTTGGGCTTCACTCAATCTTTTTATTTAAAAGTTGTTGCACTATGGCTTTGGCCTGTGTGAAAACCAATACCCCAATTTGAAAGTCAGCCACATTAGAATCCAAGATAGCAGAAATTAATTGTAAAATCATAGCCACATAATGTTAATATGGAAACTTCTATTTAGGAATATGATCTTATGACTAAAATTCTGAAATGAGATTTGAGAAATCACTGCTGTGTACTGGACATAATCAAGGTGGGAACATCAGTTCAGTACTGTTGATGCACTGTCCATTGCCAATTGTCTTGTTTTCATTGATTTTGCATTTTTACCACAGCTATATTCATTCCATCTGTGTGTTTATTTTTGTCCCAGTACTCAAGTGGATAGAGAAACTTGCCTCCTTGTAGCAATGGACTATTACAATTTGATCTCCATGGAAACCATAGTGTGGGTTGAATGAGTTATACGCTCCATCTAGTTTGGCTGAGTCATCATAGACTGAAAAATGGATTAATGATATGAAGACACAAACCAAATTATTATTTTGATCATCAGCAAAAGCAAGATTATTTAGCTTCACTTCATTAGCAGAACAATTCTATTGTATTAATTACACTCCATATTTCCCATCTCAAATAAAAATAGTTATAAAATTTTCTAATTATAATATTGCCTTTCGACTAAACTTTGCATGTGTACCAATCTGAGATACTTTGAAAATAGGCATGTTTATAACATGCTTCTACATCTTATAAATAGGAGTCTATAATCTACATAAAGTACACAACTTCAATATTTGGTGTCTCTTTTTTTCAAGTCTGTTTCTTGCCTCCTAGTCCTAACAAGTGCAAAATGAAAAGCTTGTTTCTTTTAGCAATGTCTAACTTACATTTTAGGATTCTCCAGTTTTTTGCTTTGTTGCAACCTGACAATTTTTTTGGTCTCTCTTTCATTACTATTGTTTGGGATGGGTCAGTATTTCCACTGAAGTGGAAAAGTCAGTCGATTAATTTGAACTGCTTCAAGTGTGAAATGGGTAACGGTCGAGGAGCTTTTGTCACCTTGGTATTTTTGTTTCAGCTTGGCACATTGGACTGGAGAAAGGGACAACAACCTAAATGAAATAAATTAACCAAAAAGTAGATTTGGGATTTTCATCAAACTTGACCAGTAATTTCCTTTCTTCATGCTATAGATGTATAAACAGACCTCCTAGGTGCAATGAAGTTCTGACTGTAATCTTTCTGCAGATGAATACTGCATTGTTATTTTCACTTCCTTGATGATCAGAAGTGATCTGAAAATTTTGGCAGCAGATTAGCATGAGGTTATGATCAATGACACTGCAATCTCAAATGAATTATCATGAAATTTAAATCAAAAGTTATAATTGACTTCCTCTTAGGCACACTTCTTTAAAAAAAATGGTACATTTGTAACTTGGTTTGTACAGGGATCTATATTTCCAGCATATCAACATTGTTAAATATGTGTGATCTTAGCACGACCGCACATTTATTGTGAAGTTTTTTTTTCTTTATTCATTCATGGGATGAGGACATCGCTGGCTAGGCAGCTTTTATTGCCCATCCCCAATTGCCCAGAGGGCAGTTAAGAGCCAATCTCATTGCTGTGGGTCTGGAGTCACACGTAGGCCTGACCAGGTAAGGAAGGCAATTTCCTTCCCTAAAGGACATTAGTGAACCAGATGGGTTTTTCCGACAATCGACTTAAAAATATTACAAAAGGCAAAGCCATTTCATATTGTTTTAAATAGACAGCTTTGGCAAGCATTTAATATTTCCTTATCATGCTGTTTGTGTGACTTTAATAGTCTCCACTGAAACAAATTTTAATGTAAAAATAAGTCAGAATTCCAAAAGAGCCCCAAGATTGTCTGCTCCACAATAACTTGTAGGATACTATATATGAAGTGATATGCAAATGTATACTTCTTACAAGTGAAATAAGTAAGGACTTTGAGCTTTTAATGAAAGGTTAGAGATCAATTGCCCATTTTTGCAGAAAGTATATGCTCCCTTTTCTAGTCACCTTCTGTTGTCATATTTAAACAATAGCTGTTTGTTGTGTGTCTTAACAACACATATTCAACTTAATTTCTGGAGTGTGGTTGTAATCACCCTTTTTACTAATGTTCAAATTTAAATTAAATCATTTAGGATGTAGACTACTTTTACTAATGTTCCTGTGGCCTCGTTTTAACGAATTGCTGGTAGAATCTGTTATTTGAATGCAATTCCATATGTGGTGTACTGAAATGCAAGATTGGAATGAAAGCATGTGTTTGGTAGATACTTTGCTAGAATTTCATTTGTCCACTGCCAAGCTCATAATGCTTGAATTGAACATTTGCAAAGTTACTGAATGGACAGTTCCATTATTAAACTAGTTCATGTCGAAAAATTGTACATAATTTTTTTTAAATCCATCATTTGAGATTTAAAACCATTTGCTGCACAAAAGCATATGATTATTGATTTTTCTCCAAAGTTAATGTGGGGCAGAAGTTTGTTTTGTTTATTCAGTTTAAGTGTAGCTATGTTTTGTTCCTCTTTAATCTTCCTTACTATTTTATCTCTTCATTTACATGATTGTTACCTTAATAGAAGTTCTAAATCTTTGTAGTCATATGTGATTCCACAAATGAAAGTTCTAAAATGTGAATCTGATTTATCTGTCTACTGCAGTGTGCTATATGTCTGCAATAAAGATGTGTTGGTCTGATATATATCACCAGGAAAAATAATGTATTGCTCAATGAGAAAGTGCATTGAGCAGTGAACTAATAGTTGATGCTTTCACGTTTCGAACTTTAAATTCTGCCCAAACCAGAGGAGAAGATATTGTCAGGGTTTGATAACCCTGTATGAAATGAGATTGTGCAACAAAACAGTCTGTCATTCAGCACAACAACACCCATAATTTTAACACTCATTGTTACTAAATTTATGGCTTACTTAGTGCAGCAGTAACAATAGCTGCATGGGAAATGGGTCTTTTAACTGCCTAGAGATTAGGATTGAAGTACAATACTGGCACGAGCAGATGGAACCTGCAACTGACTCTGCTGCCCATAATTCAAGAATGGTCATTCCTGGGGCTTGGTTCTAAAACTGTCAGACTGTTCCCATGTCTAATACTTCCATTCTTCACTTTTGTGAGCAGAGAATGGGACAGGCAATTTGTTTATAAAACAAATCAAGTTTTTACATTGAAGAACACAAATGTATTCCATCCAAATAACAAAGTTTTAAATTCACGTAACAGGAAATGTATGTAATAACACCATTAGTATGAGTTGAGGTCCTGTGTTTAACATTAGCATATTTTTCCAAGGCTAGGGTTAGGACCACAAGAGTCCGAAGGAGAGTGTATTAGTACTCGAGGATTAATGCTTCAAGTGAAATGTTTTCAAATGAGGTTGTATAAGGCTCTAGTCAGACAGCAACTGGAATATTGTGAGCAGTTTTGGGTTCTATATCTAAGAAAGGATGTGCTAGATTGGAGGGGGTCCAAAGGAGGTTTACAAAACTGATCCTGGGGATTAAGGGCTTGTCGTATAAGGAGTGGTTGAGGATTCTGGACTGTACTCAGTGGAGTTTAAAAAGATGAGGGGGAGGTCCCATTGAAACTTAGAGTATTGAGAGGCACAGGTACAGTGAACTTGGAGAAAATGTTTCTACTAGTAGGAGAGATTGGGATCCGAGAGCACCTGCCTCGGAGAAAAGGAATGACCCTTTAGAACCAAGATGAGGAGAAATTCCTTCAGCCAGAAGTGATGAATCTGTGGACCTCATTGCTGCAGAAGGCTGTAGAGGCCAAGTAATTGAGGGCACCTAAGACAGAGGTAGATAAGCACTTGATTAGTCAGATGATCTGGGGTTACAGGGAGAAGGCAGGAGACTAAGACTGAGAAGCATATCAGCCATGTTTGAATAGCGGAGCAGACTCAATGGTCCGAATGGCCAGATTCTGCTCCTATATCATGGTAAGTTGGCAACAAGAAGTACCAGGTGCATTTGGTGAAAATTGTTAACATTAATGCACCTTATCAAATGAACAGGTATTTTGGAAATAATGGTTTCTTGAGAGTGATAATCATACAATCCCCCAAGTGTGGAAGCAGGCCGTTCGGCCCATTGAGTCCCAGCCGACCCTTCAAAGAGCATCCCACCCAGACCCACCACTCTACGCTATCCCTGTAATCCTGCATTTCCCATGGCTTCAACTAACCTGCACATCCCTGGATACTATGGGCAATTTACCATGGCTAATTCACCTAAGCTGCACATCTTAGTAGCCTCATTGAGAGGAGTTGGTGCTGTGGCCTAGATGAACAATGCTATGTAACATGAGGTAGGTAACGATGAACTAAACCCTTTAATTAACCTACAGTATTGCTATGGTTCATGATTAATTCTTTTTTGAGGTCAGTTTTTATTGTTTTATGGTGTCTGTGCTACAGCACACTCTTTACAATGGCTGAGTGACGTCCTTAAAGTGTGAAAATGTTCGCACAACAAACTAACCATTGTGGCATTGTTAAGAAATGAGGTGCAGTTAACAGCAGAGAATTCTTTTTTGTGCAGTATATTCCATGATTCTATGAGACTCTGTAGTTATCCATGGAGTTTCAGAAGTTTCTTTACCTAACAATCAGTGATGTGTTATCATTTAAAAATGTAGAATATAATATGATGCTATAACTAGCTTGATTCTTGTAATCCAGATTCAACCACAAGAAATAAGCCCCCCACCCACAGCTAACCTGGACCGTTCCAATGACAAAGTGTATGAAAATGTAACTGGATTGGTGAAGGCCGTGATAGAAATGTCTAGTAAAATACAGCCAGCACCTCCAGAAGAATACATACCGATGGTAAAGGTGAGAAGCTCTTCTAAATTTGGTACTGTGGAAGACTTCACAGTTTTGTCAATAGTAATACTTTGGAAAAAGAATGCAGAAGCATGATGAAGGGATTAAACACAAAAACAGAAATTGCTGGAGAAACCCAGCAGGTCTGGCAGCGTCTGTGGAGAGAGAAACACAGGCAACTTTTCAAGTCCAGTGACCCTTGTTCAGAATTGGTAGCATCTAGGAAAATGTAGTTTATCTTGTTGACAGGAAGTGAGGGCAGACTAGGTGGAGCTTAGAGAGAAAGGGAAGGAAAATTTGGGTAAAAAGACTGTTGATAGTATGAAGGGAAGAAGAAAAGATAGGAGCAAATTACTGCAGATGCTGAATCTGTACTGAAAACAAAAAAGGCTGGAAATCACAGCGGGTCAGGCAGCATCCATGGAGAGACAGAGCAAGCTAACATTTTGAGTCTAGATGACTCTTCATCAGAAACAGTGTTCTAGAGTCAACGTTAACTTGCTACCTCTCCACTGATGCTGCCTGCCCCACTGAGATTTACAGCATTTTTTTGTTCTCAGTCAAAAAAAAAAAGATAGATAGGTAGTAATGGGATCATTGAGAGAGTGAAAATGGGTTGGCTATGGTGAAAGCAATTCGTCATGACAGCACTGGGGTGTAGGGTTGGGTAAAAAACCTGGAAGGGGGTGTTCAGGCTCTAAAATTATTGAACTCAATATTGATACCTGAAGGTTGCAAGGTTCCCAAGTGGAAGATGAGGTGGTGTTCTTCCAGTTTGCACTAAGCTTTGTGGGAGTGCTGCAGCAAGCCCAAACAGAAATAGCAGCCAAGGAACGCAGTGGTGTGTTGGATTGGCAGACAACTGGAAGCTTAGGGTCATGGTTATGGACAGAACCTAAGTGTTTTGCAAAACAGTCTGTGTTTCATCTATCCAGTGTAGAGGGTACCACATTGTGAGTAGCGACCTCAGTAGATTAGATTGAGTGAAGTGCAGGTGATTCACCATTTCACCTAGGTGTGTCTGGGGCTTTGGATAGTGAGGATGGAGGAAGTAAACAAATAGGTGTTACACTTCTGCGATTGTATCGAAAGGTGTGATGGGGTTGTGGGGAGGTGTTGGGAGTGGAGGAGGAATTGACAAGGATGTTCCACCGGGAATAGTCCCTATGAAATGCTGACAAGGAGGGAGGGAGAGGTATCCCACTGGAGGTAACAGAAATGGCAGCTTATGATTCTTTGGATGCGGAGGCAGGTGGGATGAAAGGTGGCCTGTATTGTTATGGGAGGGAAGAGAATGGGTCAGACATGGCTAAGGGCCTTGTCAACCACAGGGGCAGGGAATCTTTGGTTGAGGAAAAAGGTGAACCCTTCTGAAGCATCCCTCCACCACCACCACCACCACCCCCACCCTCCTGCCACCTCCCACGCCCCGGAAGCAGAGAATCTGGGAGAATGGAATGGAGTCCTTACAGGAAGCAGGGTGTGAGGTAATATAGCTCAAGTAACTGTGGAAGTATGTTAGTGCCCAACCTATCCCCAGGAATGGAAACAGATGTCAAGAAGGAGTCAGAGATGGACCAGGTGAGGGTGAGAGCCGGATGGAAATTGAAAGAAAGTCATAAAGTTATCATCATCCGTCCTGCTTCCTTCTCTTGTTTGGAATGGTAAAAATTGGAAAAAACAATAAAATTAAACATTAACTCTGTTTCTCTCACCACAAAAGCTGCCAGACCTGCTGAGTTTTTCCAGCAATTTGTTTCTGTTGCAGTTTGCTAACATCTGCAGTTCTTTGTTTTATATAAATGATTAAACATTGCTCTTTCACCCCGGGAATCACGGCAAAAGCTATCCATTGACTGTAAGAGTAATATTGAAATGGATTTGTGCATTCCCAACTGAGCACAAAACTGCACCTAATTAGCACTAATTTGACAATCTCTCTTAGAAAGACATGGGAAATGTCACACAAGTGTACATTTTAATAGCAAGAGGCAAAAATAGCTCAGCCACTCTGATGTGGCATGCTGTAAAATCATTTTGAAAAGGGTTAGAATGTTAAAAGCAAAAATTGGTAGAATGAGAGATAATTACAGTGCAGTGTTATCCATCTCAATTGCCTGCCAAGTGTGCTGTTCTCAGACTTTTTCAATTATACCATTTCTAACCTTATAGTTATGAGAAAATAAATCCAACAAAGGGATTTCTGATTGATTTCATTTCGCAATAAGTCTAGATTTTTTTTCGGTCATGTCAAAATCAATATTATAAGTTTGACTGTAGGTTGAGACACAACAAGATAATTAAACTAAAATATGGAGTTTATATTCCATTATGAAAGTATCATTGTGAATTACAGATTTTTAATTTCCACAATTCTGCAATGTTTCCCAGAGTACTGAGATCATCTGTGGTAAAACATCGTTGAACCTTAATGCTGCCCTCAAAATGTGATGAAAAACAGCCAAATAAGATCACTTCACTACCCTGAACAGAAAGGGCTTCAAAATTGTTCCTTTTCATCTCACCATGGTAAAAAAACATTCAAAGCAAAATTAATTAAAAACGCTTGAGTATGTCACAAGTCAATGGTGTTTATAAAAAAAAAATGTTTATTGATTCCTGTTCTGCCAAACACAGCTCAATTTATTTAAACTCGGCAAAGATAAAAAAAGTGAGAGTCTCACTGTCCATGTTCTGCACTAAATTGATCAGTTTATTGTCAGAAGTGCTTTGATTCTGGTAAATGTGTTCTCAGGAGGTTGGTTTGGCATTGAGAACTTTATTGGCTACAGTGGATGAAACCATTCCTTCACTTCCAGCAAGCACCCATAGAGAGGTAAGCAAAGACTTTGTTTAGCCTTTAATTGATCAAACTCATTGCCATTTACCATACAGCATTTGCTAGTTAATAAGTAAATCCTTCTGTGTATGTGTTTATAAATGAATCGAAACTCACTTCTTGGCAGCATGTTCATTATAAATTCCTATGCCCACATTTATCATGGAAACTACTTGTGTAAACTTGTTAAACCACACACTTTGCCCACATTCCTGTATGTGATGACAGTCTCCTGTCAAATTTACTGTCTGCTCAGCTTGCTTCAGTTGAAGACAGCACACGGTACTGATTCCCTGTGTGCAACATGATAGGTAATAATTCTATAAAACCCCAGCTTTAACTCTTTTCAGACCTGCTGAGCTTTTCCAGCAACTTTGTTTTTGTTCCTGATTTACAGCATCCACAGTTCTTTTGGTTTTTAACTTTTTTCAAGTTGTGCAGCTGCAATGTAAATATTAAAAAATAGAATGTGCTCTTTTTTTGTATTTGAGTGCATTAGACAGATCTAGCCACTGTTAGATGCATGGCAGCTGTCTGCTATCTCAGATTCCAGAATTCTAAACTGCTTTTTAAGGACTCGCGTGGCTCCTGAGCTCGAATAATGGAACTCATATTAATGGTAATTAAGTTTGTTACATTTTTAAAAACTTCTATTAGCATTTTACTTGTGTGAAAGAATAATTTCATCACCAATGTTTTTGTAATCTGCTTCAGTAGCCATTAAAGCATTTTAAGATCTAATAAATGGAAAAGAAAATGACTCAGGACTTTCACATTTCTTCTTCCATTAAACTCTAAGAGGTCGTTTGATTACCATTCCTCCAAGTAGTACAAACAATCAGTATTTAGCCTCTCAAAACCCTTCATTATTTTTTCAAAACTTCTATTAAATCCGACCCCCACCCTTAACCATCTCTTACTCCAATAAAGACAACAGCGTTGAAAGAAGAAAATCTGCCACTTGTACCTTGCCTGGTTAGCTGGTAATTCCAGTCCCACATTATGTGACTGAATGGCAATCTCCTGGCCAGTATCAGGCCAGCTAGGGATAGCAACAACTCATAGTGCCTTTAATCTAATGAAATGTCTCAAGGCACTTTAGCGTTGTAAAACATCAGTGTAACCCCAAGGCACATCAGAAGATAATAATAGGCCAGAAGACCAAAAGCTTGGACAAAGAAAGAAGTCTTAAGGAGTGCAGTAAAGGACGGGCTACAAACATGACTTTGCTGGTATTGCTGATATCTAAATGACATATATTTAGTCAAGTCATTCTTCATTACCATATCCTCTTGTTCCTGAGAAACTTAGCCTTAGAAAATTGGCACAGGAGTAGGCCATTCATCCCTTCAAGCCAACTCTGGCATTCATGAAGATCACAAGGTTCACAGTTTCTCCCTGTACCCTTTGATCCTTTTAGCACTCAGACCTATATCTAGCTCCTTCTTGAAAACATTACATGGTTTGGCCTCAACAGCTTTCTGTGGCAGAGAATTCCACAGGCTCAGCACACTTTGCATGAAGAGATTTCTCAACTCAGTCCTGAGTGGGCATCCCTATCCTTAATAAAAACCGAAAGAACTGCAGATGCTATAAATCAGGAACAAAAACAAAGTTGCTGGAAAAGCCCAGCAGATCTGGCAGCATCTGTGAAGGAAAAAACATAGTTAACGTTTCAGGTCTGGTGACTCTTCCTCAGAGCGGACCTGAAACGTTAACTATGTTTTTTCCTTCACAGATGATGCCAGACCCGCTGGGCTTTTCCAGCAATTTTGTTTTTATCGCTATCCTTAAACTGGGACCCCTGGCTCTGGACTCCCCAGTCACTGGGAACATCTTTCTTGCGTTTACCCTGTCTAGTCCAGTTACAATTTTTGAATTTGTGAGACTGTTTCCCCCCGCCTTTCAATTCTTCTAAACTGATCCAGTCTTTCTTCATACATCTGTCCTGCCATCCAGGAATCATTCTGGTAAAATTTGGTTGCATTTCGTCCATAGTCAGAATATTCTTCCTCAAATGAGGAGTCCATAATTGCATACAATATCCCAGGTATGGTCCTACCGAGGTACTGTAAAATTGCAACAAGACTTCCCTGTTTCTGTACTTAAATTCTCTCACTATGACTGCCAATATCCATTTGCTTTTTTCACCACCTGCTGCACCTGCATGCTTACTTTCACTGACTGGTGTACAATGATACCCAGGTCTTGTTGCACCTCCCCCTTTCCCGATCTACCATCGTTCAGATAATCTGCCTTCCCTTTTGCTACCAAAGTGGTTAACCTCACATTTATCCACATTAAACTTCATCTGCCATGCATTTGCCAACTTATTCATCTTGTCCACATTACACTGAAGCATCTTTTCATCTTCCTAACAGTATGTCCTCCCACCCAAGTTTGTGCTATCTGCACACTTTTATATTGCATTTAGTTCCGTCATCATTTGATAAGGAGCCAAAGAAAAGATACTATCACATGAGGTTAGGGGTCACTTATTAGCTTCACTAACCAACAGAAAGCTTGAATTCAAGATTTTGATCCCAACAAGAGCCCCCAGTTTGTTATGGTTATGAACCAGACCAGACCCCCTAACTTTTTCTTATTTCAAAGGTAAATGCGAGGTGCTGTATCCCAGATGCACTTTGATCGGTCAAACTACTCGACATTAAGCAAAACACAATTCATTCCAACACTATAGTTAAAATGCAACAAAAGAAAGAGGAACTTAGAATGATTTAACTATATTGGAAAACTTAACAGAATAATAGATTATTTTACTACTAAACAGTAACTGTTCCAATTTAGTAAACATCCCAAAAACACACCTTGGCAAAAAGGCAAATTCAGAAAAACAGATGATAGGATTCCTATCAACAAGAAAGACATACCTGCAGCAGCTCCCCAGAGAGAGAGAGAGAGAGTGTAGTAGCCAGGAGAGAGTCGCTGCCTTCCAGACCTGCTGAGACCCCAACAACAACTGTTGAAAGCTAAAACTCCTGGATCAGTGAGAGTTTGACCACACTCACTCATATCGCTTCTATTGTTTTATTTAAAAAACTCCAAGGACTCCAAGTTGCTTTTCTTTTCATAGACTGCTCCTCACTTGTGTCCCTGTCTCTCTAAAAGAAACCAGGACAAAGCACACCTCTTAAAGCTACAGTATTGTCACAATCTGCCAAGTATGATATCCCTTTTGTAAATTCTGATATCACTGTAGCCAATCTGTGCTATAGTACTCATATCCTTCCTATAATGAGTTGCCCAGATCATCATGCATTCGTCCTGCTGTGACCTAAAAAATATAACGTCAATTCCTCCATTATATTGTCAGTAGCTTGATATATAAAATCCAGAGTTGTCTCTTTGTACTTCTCTCACATCTTTAACAAGCTATGTATTTTACCTTCTACATCTTTGTTCCTCCAATTTACCAATAAGCTTACCATTTAGGCTGTACTTGCTTTCATTGTTTTTCTCTGAAATGTGTTAGTACAAAATTTTATGCATCGAACTTGGTCTGCTAACTTGTTTGTGTCATCTCGCATTCCTTTTCAGCATACAACAGGAGTTGTAATTTAGTATCACCAAAATTGTGAAAGTGGCATTGTTGAAAAGGTTTCAATTCCTATGTATCTGTAAATCAAATCTTGCAGAAATGGAGCATTTTACTGCACCCTTCAGCTCAAGTATAATTTGCACTTTCAGCTCAGACTTGCAGTAACTTAAACAGCACACCAAGGGCTCTGAGGTACCTGGGAACATAATGATCAACATTGTTGTTCCCTTCACCAATTAAATAAGGTTTCAGAAAGAAGTAGAAGAACAACTGAGAAAAAGGGTGAATTAGTGAAATCAGATACCGAAAAAATAAAGAGAAAAGGTTTGGCTTAAGTGGGACAGGAAGATAGCAAGGATCTATTTTTAATTTGAATCTTTAAAAGGAAATTACTTCATTCAAGAATGAAACTCACTTATTTAAATTATTTTCTTGACTAAAAATTTGTTCTAACCAGCTGAGGAGGGTTGAATCAGCTCCCCTCTTTGCAACCTCCTGGGTTGGCCATAATAAGGATTTGTGTTCTTTTCAGCTGGAGGCTATGTGTCTCTCTAATAAAACTGTACTTACCCTATGTCTGTATCAATTATGAATTTTTTTCTTAATTGTTTTCTAACCCCAGAGAAATAATAAGATGCAAGATCACACTGTCTATGCATACTGGTTACAAAGGTTAAGGGAGAGAGTCCAGTGCAAAAGGAATCGAAAGGAGAGTACAGTTTAAAGTCCTTGAGGTGGAGGGTTTTAACTTCAGACTGTGCAGACTTGAACCATCAGCAATGGCAAATCAACAGCAGTTCCCCTTTGAGTTTTCAGTTTGTGGTGTTTCTTCTTTATCAGTTCTGTCACTAGGCACTTTTCCTTCTTGAGAGCACTTTCTCCAAATGGTTCCAGTTTGTGGTCAAAAATCTGTCTTTATGCTCTGCCAAAACTTGAAATACAGGTTGGTTTGTGTAGTTCCTTGTCTAAGTTAATTGTTTCTAAACTTGATAATTGCAGTTCACATCTTTTATTTTTAACGTGTGAAACTTCTCGGAGGTGTGAATCAAAACAGAAAATGAGTGGTTTTTTTCCTGACTCGGTGAATTAGTTTTAGTATCATAAAATTTTACTTTGAGTTTAGACAACTGTGTTTATTCCATGTTGTTTTCATGAAGCTTGGCTTACAAGTGTGGTCAGGTGATTGTTGTGGCTATTTTAAGTTGATGTTTTGTTCCTTTTTTATAAAACAAGTCATTCCATGAAAGTCTCTGTTATTAAAATCATAATGATGGAATTTGAAAATCACTAGCACATATTTTATCTCGTTACAATAAGGTTCATTGGTATTGCATTACAATTAAGTATTTAGAAAGATACCATTGATTGCAAGCCCTAACTTTCTGCTCCAAGTATAATCAATTAATATATAAATCCTGCAATTTCTTTAAGAGTACAGTGATGGGGTTGAAGCATGAATTGCCATTTGTGTGAGGCAGAAGTTTGCCTGAACTTGTTGCCTAACCTATGCATTAGTAAAACATGCATCGTGACCACATCAGTGATTTTCCAGCAAATGTTGGCCTGGTGCTCTTTTAATTAAAATGAACCAAAAGGCCCAAAGAATCTTTGATGGTTAACTCAGAGGATATGCAGCACAAAAATAGACCACTCAACCCAATCAGTGCATGCCAGTGTTTCTGCTCCTGTCAGTCCTCCTCCCATCTTTTCTCTTCTCCACCATCACAACCTTCTCATTCATGATTGTGACTAGTTTCCCCTCAAATGCATCTGTACTATTTACTTCAAACGCTCCCTTAAGTGGCGAGACCCACGTTCTCACCACTGTTTGGGTGCAGATGTTTCTTCAGAAATCTGGGTTTCATGATGACAGTCTTACACCATTTGCCTCTGGTTATGCTGTTCCCACAAGAGGAAATGTTCTGTCCCTCTGTATCCACTCCATTGAAAACTTTTCATAATCAAAAATTACATTTTTCTTATATTTGACTGCATTTTTTTCTTTATTTTTCTTTTCACAACTCAATTTTTTAATTTGCCTGTTTCATAGTGTAGTAGAATATCAGCATTAATGCTTAACAATGCAGTTGGAGTAGTTTTATTAATTCAACCAAATGCTGCTTAATTGATTGAAATGTTGATACCAGCTTTTAGAATTATGATCACATACCATGATTAATACTTTACATGCGTTTGACTGTGGAAGCCTCTAACCTTACGTTTCCTCTATAGATTGAGATGGCACAAAAGCTACTGAACTCTGACCTAGCAGAATTAATTGGAAAAATGAAGCTGGCCCAACAATATGTGATGACAACTCTTCAGCAGGAATATAAGAAGCAGATGCTGACAGCTGCACATGCATTAGCTGTGGATGCCAAAAATTTGCTGGATGTTATCGACCAAGCCAGACTGAAAATGATTGGAGGTCAACCTCGGCCACTCTAGCTGCCTGAAGCTTGCTCTGGGGGTTTTTGAAATGATTGTGTGATCAAATCTACCACCAGCATGTGGAATCACAAAGAGCCAAAAAAAGACTTTATCTATCAACATATGTATAAAAAGCAGAGAAAGTACTGTCAAGTCAAGGATTCCGGGACACCCGAGGGCTGAGAATTCTTGCTATACAGTACAACAACTCCAGACTGGAACTGTAATCACTGAATAGAAATAGACCAATATTTAGCTGCAATACATCGACAGGATTTGAACAAAGATGTTATATTTTCAGACTGAAGTCATTTAAGGTAACAAAAAAAACTTTCTTCGTTACTCCACCTCAGCGTGTGAATGGAGGTTCACCTGTATTTTAGCAACACTCTGAAGTGTTAATTAAAAGACTAGCATGTAGAATAGACCTGAGACTGTATCATGCTTCAAGCAGAAATACATGCTAGTTGTTTAGAGAAAACCTGGAACAGATTGTGCTGCAATTGCAGATGCAGCAAAATTTGAGTGCTGTGTATTAATATTTCTTCTACCATTGTTTAACTTCATTTTTTAATTATTTAAAACAAAAGCCACAATCACAATTAAAAACAAACTAGTTACTAACCATCTTGTTTCTGGCTTGTCTAGGAGTTTGTGGGAACAGTGTAGTATGCAGACGTGGTACATTTTTATTTCTATTTTCCATATGTATTACCTGTTCTCTGGAACTCCCTCCTTCATTTTGGGGTATAAATTATTCTCAGGAAGAATATAATGAACTGTACAGTTATTTGACCTATTAAAAAGGTGTTAATAAAAAGCAAAACCTTGTAATGTTTTGTACATATTACCTGATATACATCTGCACTTTGTCTCAGTTAAACATAGGATTGCACAAGCAATTTCAAAATTGTAAATAATTTATCAGCTGGTACCAGAAGTACCAGTCACAAGAGTTTAAGAATCCAAATGGTTGAAAAATATTCTCATGCTCTACAGGAAAGGGAAGCTGGCCTGTGTAGTTCTGGTGCCAATTTATGGTTCATAGCTAATGTTGTCTGGGAAATAAATGTGGTTTTGCCAAACCCATCCAGACTCCTGAGAACAAAAGATATTTAAGGATCCTCAAATATTTTTGATAGACAAACATGTTTTTGTCTGTTTCGTCTTGTGTTTCTCTTTATCTGGAGAGTAGATGAGATCTCTCAGATTTTGTCCAACTCTGTTGTTCCATGGATTTGCCTTCAGGAGCTTGTATAATTGAACAAGATGTCTTTCTAATTCTCATAGTGATTCTATCTCCTAGCCATGTTGCTGCTTTTAAGCAGTATATCTTTGGGAAGTAATTTCCTGAGCAAACTGGGTGCTGTTAGAGGAACAGTGATGTAATTTTCCAGAGTTTCAGAAATATTTCAAAAGTTAACAGTAAACTACAGCTGTTAGCAAATTACTGTCCTCATTTTTCTTCTGTAGCTCTACTTTAGCTGAAGATGAGAAAGACTAGACCATTCTGTCATTCATTTAGATCATGACTGATCTGTACCACAATTCCATTTTGCCGATCTTTGCTTTCATGCCTTATAACCTTAATTTAAAAAACTCTATTAATCTCAGTCTTGAAATTTAAATTGTTGCAGTATCTACAGCCTTTTGGAACAAAAGAGTTATAAATCTCCTTTGTATGAGAGAAGTATTTACTGATTTCGTTCCTAAATGACCTGACTCCAATTTTAAGAAATGCCCTTTGATGGGGAAATCCAGGACAAGAGGGAACAATTTCTCTGAAATACTCCATGAAATTCTTTCATCATTTTAAACACATCCATTAGATCAGTCTTTAAAACGCAAATAAAACCTTGCGCTATTAATTTGTTTCTAGACCCTGGGTATCAGTTAATATATTTATCGACCCGTCTGAACCCCTCAATTCTAGTCTTAACTCATTTCCAGGAAGAAACCACCTTGAAACCTTTGATTGGATTCCAATCTCTAACTCACTGCTGGGTATCTGTTGTTCTGTATATAAAACACCACAAACTAAAAAGACAAATTTATGTCAAACTCCGAGTTCACACACACACAGACAAAAGCATTGACCACAAACATGCTCTCTCACACTGGTACAGCCAGAAATGATGAGGGTCAGTAGTGAGCTGCTCTATATTGTGGAGTTGTGGTAGGGAGGTGTTGGTTGTTTTGAAAAGCATTAAGTCCTCAGGACCTAATAGGATTTATCCCAGAATGCTGAGGGTGGCAGGTGAGAAAATTTCTGGGGCCTCATGTGAAATCTTTACAGTATCTTCTTGAGTCACAGGAGAAGTCTCAGAGGACTGGAAAATAGTCAACATGCCCTTCTTAAACAAAGGAACAACAGGAAGGATCTGGGAAACTACAGGTCGGTGAGCACTGCATCAGTGGTAGAGAAATTATTGGAGATGATTCTTAGGATAGGATTTATTCATGTTCGGGAAAAATATGGACTTTAGTGATAGGCAACATAGCTTTGTGCAGGGAAGATTATGTCTCACAAACTTGACTGAGTTTTTTCAGGAAGTGACAAAGTGTTTGATGAGGGCAGGGGGTTAATGTTTTCTGTATGGAATTTAGCAAGACCTTAGGCAAGATCTCCTATGACAGGTTTATTCAGGTTATTACTGCAAGGGGGTCAGAATATTACCAAAGGGTATCAGAATATTCCTGTCAGTGAGGTGGGAAGGGGCAAAATCAGGTGATATGATGATGTTCCAATGTCTCCTTATTGAGTAATATAAAAACATAGAAAACCTACAGTACACAGAGAGGCTTTAAATTATGTTGTGTCTCTTTTGGCATGTGAGCTAGTCATTTATAATATAGCACCATTTTCCAGAATGATAGCTACGGAATAAGCAGTTCTTAATCACCATTTGCTTATGTAGGACAGTTCAAGAGTGAATCAAGTTTGGTGTCATGTGTATAAATCTGAATTCTTTAATCTTGACATGTTATTCTGAATCATTTCAGCAGTTTGCCCAAGTGACCATTCTTCACATGGGAGTATGGGCAGTGACTATTTGACCGATGATCTTTTAGCAGGGACAGGATTGTGGAAGTTAGGATGGGGAAACTTGCTTCATTTCATTGTTGAAACCTAGGAGTGCTGAGGCCACACACAGACAAGCACATAAGACACAGTAATGTAAACTCTCTCTCTCTCACACACAGAAAAACACATCAATCAGTGATTTACTCTGTCACAGGCACAAATACACAGGCGAACACATATCACTCAGTGATGTATACACACACACACAAGCACTAACAGAGAGAAACTCATATACAAGCAAGCTGACATACTCAAATCCCTCCCAAAATCCTGGGATCAGATTGCAGACTGTAACTCCCTCTCAAGTATAATAAATACAAAACTCTGAGCTATTGATTTGATTCTAGACCGTACTCACTCCTGGGTATCTGTTATTCTGTCATTGATTTAGGCACCATGATGGGGCAACTTATAAAACTTTTCACTGAATTTTTCATTTAAAAGTACATGTGACAATAAATTTCTATTCTATTCTGATATATTGATGAATCTACACAGTACTCCTCCAACATTGATCCAGGTGGGGTCTGTCAAAGGCGCTGTATGTTTTGTATTCAGCTCCTTTTGAGATTATGATCAACACTCCATTTGTCGTCTTGATCACTTTTTGTATCTGCACTAGTTGTTTTGTGATTTTTCTACTTGGATGTCTAAATCATCTTTTTCTTACACACAATTCCTGGTCTCTCACCAGAAAGAAAATTTCTAATTTATCTTCTTAAATCTAAGGTGGACCCAAACTCCCCTTCGAGCCACAAACCATCCCGATGTGGAACTATATTACTATTTTACTGTGGCTGGGTCAAATTCCAGGTATTCCCCCCACTAATAGCACTTTTGGTGTATTTACACTCCAAGGACTAAGGAAGTTCGAGAAGACAGCTTATCTCCCCCTTCTCCAGGGCATTTAGAGTTGGATAATAAATAGTTGGAAAATAAGGCTTAGCCAGCATTTCCCACATCCCATGATTGAATAATAAAAAATCTGACGTTCAATTTCATCTGTCACAATTTCTATCTATTCACATAATCTGTGAAAGAACTGTATGAAGTTCTGCCAGGATTGTAAGAAATATATGCAGGAATCAGTCATTCCAATTCTTGAGCCAAACCTGCCATTGAATTAAATTTTCCCTGATCTTCAACCTAGGTCCCCATATCCTTTGATTCCCATAAGGTTCAAAGATCTGTTCATCTTTGCTTGAAACCAAACAACTGAGCATCCACATGCCTCTTATGTCGAGAATACCAAAATGTTCACATCTCTTGAGGGAAGGTATTTGCCCCAACCTCAGCACAAAATGGCCTTCTCCTTATCCTGAGACCAACTTCCAAATTCTAGACACTGTAGCCAGGAAGCAGCCTTGTAATATCTATTCTGACAACCCCCCTCAGAATCTTGTTCCTCAACATGATCACCTCTCCCAATTTCCTGCTGTAACTGGATGTTTATGATCTTATAGAAAGATACTCAAATCTCTGTCAACAGCAATAATTAATGGCTTCTCACCAATTACAGAATATTCTGTTTCCCTATTCTTTGACCAAGCTTTTAACCATCTGCCCTAATACTCTTTACATGGCTTAGTTCATATTTTGTTCGATTGGGCTATTGGATCAATGGAATGACATAATTGTAAGCTGTTGTTGGGCGTGCATTTCTGAATTTAGCCATTGAACCAAAGCCTGCACAAATTGGTGTGGGCTGATCCAGTGCTAAATTGGTGTGGCCCACATCCAGTTTGCGTCCAATAAGTGAGTTCACTAATTTCAAATCTCTGTCTCCTACCTCCCATGTGACAATATTACATCTAACTGCATTAGATCTTGGTGATAATTTCTTTTTCAGTTATCTTCTGGAGGTCCATGTACATAAAACAACCCCATCCACCTAATTATTGCAAGAACTGCAGATGCTGGAGTCAGAGACAACACAGTGTGGAGCTGGAGCAACACAGCAGGCCAGGCAGCATCGGAGGAGCAGGCAAGTTGATGTTTTGAGTCAGACCCTTCTTCTGAAGGCCCCTCTGATGCTGCCTGGCCTGCTGTGTTCCTCCAGCTCCATATTCTGTTGTCCCATCCACCTAGTGACCTATGAAGAAGAAATAAATTTTTTCAGACATGAAGTACTTCTCTCGAAACTATGCTGACTCTTTGTGAACAGTTCATACTTGTCCAAGTGCTCAGTCATGCTGTCTCTTATAAATTCTGGTAAGTTCGCCACAACAGATGTCCCACTTAATGGGATTGATTACTTCAATTCCTTATTTTAATGCCTGACTGGAAAGCATCAGTTCCTGTAAATTAGCCTATTTTTGCCATGACAAGCTGCATCACCTTATCCAGAACAGTGGAACCAGAGGAGCCTACAAAGGAGGATGACTTCAAAAATCAATGTGTGGAGAAATAGTAACAGAATGAAGCCATTGAGCCTGATCCACTGTTTAATAGAATCATAGCTGATCTTCAGTTGGCTGATCTTTAGGTCATACAATGCCTATGCACTATTAGTAATCCGAAATCTATTAGTCTCTACTTTGAGTATATTTAAAGATTGAGCTTCTACAGCCCTCTGGCATAGAGAATTTCAAAGATTCGCAACTCTCTGTGTAAGAAAACAAAATCTTCTCTTCATCTAATCCCAAATAGTATCCCCATTATTTTCAAATTATGCCCGGTTCTTGACTCCCCAGCTAGAGGAAATATCTTACGGGGTGTGTCTGCTCTGTCCATCCCTTTAA